TTATTGTCATGATTTTTGTTTCTATTATGTTTTATCTTTTATTCTTCATTTCCTTTCCTTCTGAATTCCTGTTCTAATTTTTTCTTTGTGATGGGATATGGCTAATTATATGTGGTCACAGAAACTAGCATCAGAAGGGTCTTTGCTTATTTTACACACCAGGAGTAACGACTTAATATAGTCACAGATATCTATAGAAGAAGTGCCTTAACTTGTTTTAGACTTCAGATGGGTGTTTGAGTGCTTGCGCTCCTGGGGTGGGTAGGTGGTTGGTTGGTTTGGAATACAATATATTATTACTTGAGTTGCATGTGTAACCAGTTTACTGAATTTATGTCCTCGTTTCTAAACTCTACTTGTTCTATTGAGTTACATGTCAAAATCTCATCTTTGTTAGCAGATTTTGTACTTATTGAGTTTGTAACAATGTTTTTGCAGCATAGCTGATAATACTTTTCCCTGAAATTTAAAAATACTTTGCTGTTAGCAAATAGTTGGGGCCCTCCTTAGCCAATCATAGCCAGCCTGATTTGGTTGTGTTGTTTTCATGAACTTAATGAGTAAGCACTTGTGGCAGGTCGACTCTAGTACTTCTTGGCATCGAAACCTAAACTCATCTGCCGCTGTTGCATTTAGATATATGCATGCTTCAGATCCCTGTTCTTTGGCTCGTGTTGCAACATTAGCTCAGAGAAGAAATGGGGATTAAGTATTGTAAGCTAATCTGGAGCTTGTCCGCATGATGCGAAAATATTGTAAGCTAATCTGGAGCTTGTCCTCATAGTCTTCAAAAGCTTCGAAAAGTGGCACATATCTCATACATCATTGCCCAGGTAACATACCATGCTGAACCAGGAGCCTTAGCTGAATTGACCAAGAGCTGTGGAGCTAATTTTGTTGGGAAATTTGTTTTCCAATCGCGGCCTCGCTCTCAATGTATAATAGCTCTCTATGTTTATTTTGTTTCTTTTTCCTCTGGGGTGAGGTTGGGGTGCAATTATTTTTATTATTATATTTTTCCCCTCTTGAATTGAGAAGCAAATTCCCCATGATCTGCGATGTTTATTTTCCTCCTAAAATGAACTGTAACATGCATTTCACTGATTTAATTTCTTCCTTTTTGTCGTCTCATAATGTAATGCTTTGTGCACGTCTAGTTAGGGCATTGTTTGACTTATTTAGTTGCATATTGTATTTGTCAGTTCTGTTGAACATGATTTTTGCACACGTGGTCAATAGAATTCCGATCATTTCCTCACCACTCAAGTATCAACTACACACTAGAACATCCTGTTAGGATGCAAAAGCAGTCAATTAAGAAAATGGTTTGACGATCTTTTACACTTCAACGTTATTATTATTATTATTATTATTATTATTATTATTATTATTATTTTATTAAATTCAGCTGTCATCACATAAATATTGTGGAAGAAAATTTAAGGTCATCAACAAGATGATCAATCTAAGAGTGCTGGAGAGACGAAAGGAGACATTGATGAAAAACTTTTGATTCGGTTATCGAGCAATTGAATAACACCTCGGTAACACAGGAAATAAGATGACTGGATCCCTTCGACGCTTATACCCCCTTCATCTTTTGGAGGATAAATATTTAGCAAAGCACTTGGAAGTAAAATAAATATATTTTTTCATAATATCTATTAAAAATAATTGTCCTTTATCAAAGTCCACCAAGACTTTTATCCCCTGTTTGGGTTCTATTAAAATTATAACTCATTTTCTCTCTCTCTCTTCTTATCACCCACATGTTATTCAATAAAATGATATTACATGTAAAATATAAAAAATTTCCTCATTTTAACCACACATTTTTCAAAAAATTACAATTCCAAAATATATATATTTTTTCCCAAAATCTAATTAAAATGGAGGCTAAACAAGGGCTTGATGTCTTTAAAACTGATGTTGGGGTATTAAAGGGCATGAGTTGGCTAGCCTCACGAACTGTCCGATTAATACCAAGATTCAACTTTAGTCTCTCATTAAGTAGAGATCTTGAGTTTGAATTGTAAGAACACGATAAAAAAATTGTGAGGGGTAAGATGGGCTTAAGTTCTCCCAAAGCAGACAATAGGTCCATAATTTTGTAATTATCCGACCTCTCTGTCCAAATTCTTAACTTACGTACTATCCGTTCTGAAAGAATCTAAACCAATCTTATCCTTCATGGATTTCTACCGTGTTCCAAAGAATCAAACACATGACCTTCTTTTAAGTACTACCAATACAGTGTGAGTGAGATTAATAGAGGTAACCAAAAAAAAAAAAAATAAGAAAAAAAAAAAAAAAAAAAAAAAAAACATTATAACTCGAATATTATACTAAAAGTTATTGTACTTATCTTTAAGAATTAACTTAGGATGTTATTTTTAATATTTACCAAAAGTTAATTTTTTTTTATTTTTTGGTTCAGCCCATTTCTTCAATATTTGTGTAAATTGCCCAAAAATAAACCAATACAATAAATGGACAGCCCACATAACAGTTCAAAATCCGACACTAAGTTACCAACCTTTCAAACATTTAAGGGAAAAAATCATGATCCAGTGGTATAGTTTATACCAATTCAAAAGTGAGGTATATAGTTTAAAAATTCAAACTTCAAGTACATATATAATTAATTAAAAGAAACTTATTAATTAAATATAATAAAATCATGATTATACAATTAATTGTCACAGATACATAATTACAGGTCACAACTTTCTTACTGGTCACATATTACTAAATTAATTGGTCACAAATTATTTCGAGGTCACAAATAAAAATTTTTATAGGTCATAGATTATTTTGATGTCACAAATCATAATTTTTACAAGTCACAGTTTATTTCGTTAGTCGCAAATTAAAAAAATTATACGTCACAATTTATCTATTGATCACATATTTTCAAATTTGTTGGTCACGTACTATTTTTCGATCACAAATTATCAAAATTTTAGTTCACAGTTAAATACTTGGTCACAGATACAAAACAATCGATCACATACTACTTGCACCAACACTATCGCCAATTGCGAACACTCTTTCCCTACGATTGTTGCCGTCGCCACGGCCACTAGCACCACCAATAAAAATCACCGCCAGATCCACCATCACCGCCAGTATCTCTACCTGTACAACCAACAAAAACCCCCCAAACCCCCCCCCCCCAACACCACCAAAACCACCCCCAAACCACCATTGCTACCACCACCACCACACCCCCGACACTACCACTGACGAAAACTACCAAAGCCCCAAACCACCAACCACAAGTTCACCACACCTCGACGTCACCATTGTTGAAAATCACAGTAGCCCCGAACCACCGCTACCACCACCACCACCATAACCCGATGCCGCCAACAACACAGACACGTGACATAGCCTCAACAACCCTCCACCACCTCTGACCGCATTTAAATTTCACTCCAATCCCCACCAATTGAGCACTTGACCACCAACGGCAAAACCACCACCACATCGCACAACATAGAACCACCACCACCACAAGCACCACAACAAAACCACAAAAATAGATGCAGCAGTGTTGCTGTGCACGAATCTGCGCTAACACCATTGAAGATAAACGGTTGAACGGTGAACGCCCAACGCAGTAAAAGTGGCAGGTTGGAAATTTACTCATTTTGCTAATATTTTGGACTGGGCGGGGAGAATATCTTGGGCCCTAAAAGTGGCAAGCTGGAAATCAGCCATAGGAATCTTGTATCGGTGCCAATGATGGCGAGTGGTGAGAGAGGAGAGACGGATAATCTTGGGTTGGGATGAATTGAAACAGGGTTGAATTATTTTATATTAATATTAACAATTAAATTAATACTTGAATTCTAAATAAAAAACTTTCCAACATGATTTTTGCATTTTGATTTTCCAACATTTAAACCACACCAAAACTCCATAGAAATTATAATCCAAACACAGCCTTAATTAGGTCTTAATTTCTAGGTTTTAGACAATAGAAGATAGCAAAGGAAGAGGATAGCAGAAGATTAAGGCTTTAACGGGTTCTCTCTTATTGCAGAAGAAGAGGATAGCAAAAGCTTGAAGGCTCTTAGGGGTTTTCTCTTCTATCTCTTTTCATTTCCAAGGGTTTTCACTTTCTCCCTTTAATTTTTCAATATGAGCGATGATAATAGCTTGAATATGACAAATCTTAGTGCTGGTAAAAATATTTTTCCCAAAGTTCAGTACAGACAGATGCCTGCATAGGACCTTCATTAGGTTCACCCTCGAGCACCATATGTTCACCGATTTAATTGGTTAGAATTATAAAATATAATTTTTAACCAAAGCCTTTCATTACAATGAAAGCACAAACCCACACACACCTTGTAAATACCCACCAATAACATATGCAAAATCTACAAGTGAAGTTCTCTTATTTGGGTGAAGTTTATTGATAATTACATTCTTTGATCTCTTCATACTATGTGTATGTACATGAGTAGAATTTACAACATCTGGAAGAGGCTGGTTGGAGCCAGATGTTCGTTATAAATACATACCGAAAGTGCACGGGTCGCGATCAAGTAATAAAATGGATTTTGAGTTCGGATCGACCCTCAAAGAGCGTTTCCTCCAATCACATAATAATTAAATTCAATTTTAACGATGACACAGACAATTTTATTTTGAATTTAAAGGCAGAAAGAAAATGATTTTAACGTTCAATTAAAACGTACAATTATAACAATGATGAGAATTTGAATTTTAATCGAGTTGGGATTTGTGATTCCACTTGACTGTCAATAAATTAATTTCTCGATAAATAAATTAATAAAATACTCACTTATCTTATCACACCCGATTCTCCTATTGTAGTTAACTGCCTCTCTCGAGTAAAATTAATCCTAATCAATTAATTTAACCCACTATACCTCTATATCGATTAAACACAATCAATAGCATTACATATTTGTGGAAATGGCTCAAAGGGTTACTTAGGCTTAGGAGTGTATTTCTATTTCCTACGATAACCTAAAGTTTCTATCATCTCGGTCTAAAATGTGCAAGAATTTATCGATAATCGTGCAAATCACTTGATATAATCACATAGTGGTCACAATAATGATAATGCACTAAAAATAATGGTAAATGCACAAGAATTTAAGCATATATGCATTAACAAGTAAATATAGAAACTAATATAGTTTTGTCAAGCTTCCTCAGTCATCCCAACATCAAAAAATTTAGCTCAATGTATTTAAGTAAAGCCAAGTAAAAAGGATAAGAAGAACACATTACAATAGTAGAGAAAATACAATGTAAGATACAAGATGAAGAAATAACCCCGTCCCCTAGTTGGGTTCTTGAAGCTTGCAAGGTGTTGGTCTTGATTTCTCCAATAATTTTTCCTTTTCCTTGTGATATTTTCTCCCCTTTTTGCTTACCCCCTTTTCTCTCTATGCTAGGGTTTTTAGGATGTTCAAGAAGAAATGAAAGGGTTGAATAGGGTTAAAATGGTTGAAAAGTTCATTTAAAAGGGCCTAAGAATCATTCCCCATAATTGCAACATGGTTTTTTTTTTTATTTTAAAAGCCAAAAAAAACCCTTCGATCGGTGCTTGATAAGGCTACTCTATCACTTACAGCAAAGGATTCTTCACGTCACTTAATGAAAATTGTACTTCAAGGCAATCGACGCAGCACGTCCACTGCAAGGGCTTGGCCAACAACATGTGCCCTTGGGGGTTAGTGCCACTCATCCCTTTTTTTACAGTTTGGTCCTACGATAATTTCCTTTCAGTCCCCCAATTATTTATCTTGTCGATTTTAGTCCTCAAATGTTGACTTTCCTTTCAATCACGCCTCCAAAAATTGTAGCCCAAGGCCCCTAAACTTTCAACATTTGTATACTTTGATCCCTAAAGTCATGCTTTTGTGTACTTTTGGTCCTTTGTCCTTCCTTTAACTTTCTTCTCCTCCATTTTTGGATTTTGGCCTATAAAGCCATAATCACACAATTGTGAATAGGAATTCATTCAATTTCATCAATAATTAGGTACTTTATCACCGAATTAAATAGAGAGAAGCTATGAGAACTTGCTCGAGCCCTAACCTTAGCTCGACTTCTTTATATTTCAATTCTAGGTCCAATTACAGTTTTCCCATTTACAATCATGTTCTAGTAAACCCCGAAGGTGAGCCTCTT